GATAAACATTGTTGATATTTATTAGCATGGAATAGGAGGATTGTGTGTCTGATGAATCAGCAGCAATTCAAGTCATGTTTCTAGTGCAAAACCATTTCTGTAGTAAAACTTTCTCATTACACTGGAATGCATGTATCATGCACTTTTAAGTAACATAATGTTGAATTCTAAAAACACTAATCTTTCATGAAAATAGAACAACTAGAGCATTGGATATCCACAGAATTTGTCTAATATTTTAAAATACAGGATGTATTTGGAAGGCATATTTTGCATATTTTATGGCATTTTGTGATTTCATTAGAGTAGTTGTTGTAGCAAATCTTGCAGGCCAGAAAGACTGCAGGTGAAAGGTTTTGTGGCTGGGCTGGTGTTTGTTTTTCTTTTGTAGCCTGAAGAATACCCTCCCACACCAGTGACACTAAAACACAGCTTGACTTCATGTTTAGTGAGTTGTATGGGCGTTGTCCTCAACAATGGGACCCCAATATCATTTGACAGAGAGCACCTGATTCCTTTAGCAACAGCCAGGGTTGTTTGTGGGATTTTCCTGAAATGCACTTGCCCAACAACTCAACTCACTGCAACCCAGTCCTAGTACTGGAATCTTCCTTCGGAAACAAGAGATAGCCCATTGGGACTCTGTATCTTCCATCATTAGACCTCATTAAGATAATTTTTATATATCTTAGGGATTTCCCACTGCAGTAGTTTTCTACGTCATCCCTCAAATACCCCTCAATTCCAGCTGTCTCTCCTCTAATAACCTACATCAACTCTCTTCTCTCCCTCCCACCCTGATCGACCTCTTCACTTCTGCACATGGCCCCAGTCGACCTCTAAAATCTATTTTATTGCCAACTCCCAGAGTACATGCATGTATTGCTCCCCACCCTCAATGAACTCCCCTATTCCTAGGCTGTACTACTATATATGTATTATAGGTTGTTTTTCATTTATTTAATTGTAAATATACACATATAAGTGAATCCATTTCTCTTTTGGGTGTGCATTCCCTCAGACAGGATGATTTATTTTCTGTTTCCATCCATTTGCATTCAAATATAATAATGTTATTTTTGAGTAGCTGAGTACTACTCCATTGTGTAAATGTAACACATTCTGCCTGAAGAAGTCTTTCAATCATATCCTTTGATCCTTGAAAACTGCTGTCACTTTGACAAAAAGAACCAGTGGCACACTTTTGGGAGGACTGTCTTCATTCAGCTTCTAGGTCTCCTGCCTTCCTTTTCCACTTACTGGAGGTTTGAATGAGAATGATCTACCCACAGGGTTTATATAACTGAATGCTTACTCCACAGTGATGGACTGTTTGGAAAGTGCTAGAGCATATGGTGTGTATTTGAGTTGCGTCAAAGGGTTTTGGCTTTGAGGTTTATTCTCTCTCTGTCTCTGTCTCTCTCATTCACTCAGATGCCTCCTGTGGATCAGGATGAAAATCTCTCAGCTATACTGCAGAATCATACCAAGATCTTTGCATCCTGACATGATGATCATAGACTGACTCCAACATTTTAAGCAAGCCCCCAATTAAATCCTTCCCATCAGAAGAGTTGCATTGCTCATGGCAGCTCTTCACAGCAATAAAACAGTAACTAAGACACTTTCCAAGTCATCATCTGTGCATATAAATACACTAATGTTATCAGTTGAAATGTGAAAATCATGTGTCAATGATAAATGATTTTATGAATGAAACATGTGACACTCTTCCTGGAAACAGAAACTGTCAAGTCAGGGTTGTATGCTTTTGGCTGCCCAGATTACAGCCATGTAGGGCTGCTCTAGTCTTCTTGCAGGTGTTCTGTCTGTCTCTTTAACAGATGGTTTCTGGGATACCTATTGGCTTTCACCTGCTTGATGACATCATTCTCCCTCAGCCAATCAGCATCAGATGGAGTTTTGAGGTTACCTTGGAAATAACTGACAAAACGGTCCTCAGTGCTGAGCATCTTTGATTATGCACAGACATGGATCTTTGACTGTGAAACCCAACAACCCTTGTTCTCATCCCTTTATTCAGATCCTACTCCTTTTTGAAACCTACAACCTGTTCTCTCATTCCTTTGTCCCTATCCACTCCTTTTCTTCGTTGTTCCTGACTTGCAGATGTCAGGTAGGAAAAGAAACTTTAATGTTGGTTTAGTAGGACAGCTCCCCAAATTGGGAAGCATCAAGCAATGTGGGATGAAGGGGAAAGTCCTGAACATCTGGCTGGTGGCCTAACTGTAGTCTTGGATTGGACATTTCCTAGTGTTGTAAATTTGGACATTGTGTTTCTTACCCATAACTAAATGTGCTTTTACTTGGTTAAATAACAGGATGGCCAGACTCAGGGCCTTCTGAGGTATTGAGACTTTAGGACCATGATATAGGGAAGGAAACCAGAGAGTTCCTTGGACTGTTTCAGTTGAAGCAGAGAAACAGCTGGGTATGTAGTCTGGACAAGTAAGGGCCAGGATTCTTCCTTCTACCCTGTTTTCCACATTAGCATTTTCATGTTAGTGCTGTGGAGCAGTGGTGGAGAGATGTCATGGGAACTGCCTGCCACATCTGCCACTCCTCCATGATTGCCTCCAGGGTGGCCTTGGCTGACTTGGCTGAACACACAGCTGTGTCCAGGTCTGGGACCTGGGGAATGACAGTTAGGCCTGGACATTCATGGGAGAGACTGGGACTGTGTTTCATGTCTAAGGCACAGGAGCATCATCTGTCTTCCCTACTGTGATCTTCCAAACCAACTAACTCAAGTAGTGTCAGTTTCAGAACTGTCTGTTCAGGTGTGTTCCATGAGCACTTGGGGCCTGAGGTAGCTGAGTTACCACCAATTCATGGCTAGCACACTCTGTTACATAATGAATTCCCATGGAACATGTCCTATAAAGTAAAGCCCTGTCCAAATTTAAAGGAGTCTTTCTTCATGTTAAAATTCTTTGTAATTTTTTCCATCATAATATTTTTATTGGTTATTTGGGGGAATTTATTCAATGCATCTAATCACACTAGCTTCCTATTCCTCCCAAGTCAACCATCCCAAACCTTTGGCCATCCAAAAGAAATGAATGAAAAAGAGTATAGACAGTCTAATTTCTGTTGTCCATGTACTCTCTGCAGCATGGGAAAATTCTCGCTGGCCACCCCTCCCTGGCATCCCTCCCTACACCCAACAGTCCCCCTCCCTGCCAGAGCCATCAACGGCTTAGAACAACACTTCAGTATCTTTATCACAATTTATGGACTCTCTTCAGTGGCTTCTGGTCTTGACTCTTTTATTTATTTGGAGGGAGGAAAAGTCTTCTCTGATAAGTCTCTCATTCTCAATGATGAGTCTGCAGTCATAGGCACCATTGAAAAGGGACTTTCCTAGCTCATACCAGCCAGTGACAGCACAGATCAGTGACTTCCACATGGTTTTAGGTGATAGCCTGAAATATGGATACAAGCATGGCCTCCAGATACAGGACAATGTCTGGAGGACTTTTGAAGAGGCCCAATCCACATAAAGAATCATTCTCTATCTCCATTAGTGTGAGCTTCTATATCTCAAGTTTCACTTCTCTCTGGCTGTGCATGGAGCTCTGCTCTGCTCTTTGAGACCTTTTTTATTTCAATTTAGTGACACCATTTTGAAAAGTGTCTTCCCCTGAGACTTGAAGTCTTTTAGTTGTTTCTGAGATGCTTTGCTGTTTCAGATTAATCTGCTGCTGTCTCCTCTCCCCTCTGTGCCTCTATGGCTCCTTGGAGATGCTCCATGGTTCTGTAGATGCCAGTAGACACTGCCATCTTGAATTGATATCCACTGAAAATTTTTGGTTCTGACTACTACCTCATCAACTGAATTGCAGGATTAAAAGCCCAAATTGCATCTCCATAGTGATCACTACTTTAGTAGTGCATAAATTAACCTAGATTAACGTTGATTATTGGAGAAGCAAATGATTTTTTTCTTAACTAATTGTATATTTGGTGACAGGCAAATTTTTGAAACCCTGGCTTACAGACCAACAGAGCTGTCCAGGACTTTTCACTGCTATGGACCCAAATGAGGTAAGTGTCATGGCTGCTGAAAAGAAAGTTCTTTTGCTCGCAATCATATGTGGAAAATTTAAAGACCTGGTGCCTTTTTCTATTTCAAAATAGTGAACTTCACTTTTATTCTCCCTAGTGTTCATGTCTTACTTTTTCTTTAAATTATCAGTGGGATCACAGAAAACAGGTCAATACTATGAGCAATTTGTGTTTAGAATTCATTGCATTCCCACTCTCAAACATGCTGACTCTCTAGAAAACTTTCAAGATAGGCTTGAGCCATGCTCTGGTCCATGGACATTTATTTCCTCCTGCATCTTCTCAGCCTTAGTTCCTATAATCCTTATCTATCAGGAACTGAGTTTTCCTTGCTCATTGTCACTCAAATGCTATCCAAGACTTGAGTATCATAGGTGCTAATTAAATTACTGAGGGCACACATTCGCAAATCCTTTTGTTTCTAGCTGGGATTGCAATGTGGAAGGCATGAGTAGAGTTTCCTCCACATGGGGTGCTCCCTATTTGTCTTGGTGATATCAGAAGAAGCCTGTGTGGAAATTGCTTTGTTTATGCTTATGCACAACCCTTTGATATGTGCACAACCACTTATAGTAGATTCCTCTAGAGGTAATCTCAATAGACATGCTGTTTGTAAGATCTGCTCCTTAAGTTGAATGCTACCCAAGGCCTCCTATTCAACCCCTTTACTACCATAATAGAGGATCCTAGGCTGGGTATGGTATGTTCACTAAATTTATTAAGCTGAATCACCACATGTTGTGTTTTATGTACTGTAATTTCTTTAGTGAAAGCTTTGTTTCTCAAACACACACACACACAATATGTGTTTGTGTTATAGACAGCTAGAATGACTGTATGGCAGGATAGCAGGAGACAGCTTCTGAAGTTACCTATCTTTTCCTTTCTGTCTTAGAAAAGGGGTACCATCTGAAGATATAAAGATGTAACTCTTCTGCCCCAAGAACATTTCCAAATTTTAATTCTTGCGGGCATGACTGTTGACAACAGCAAGAAACTTCCCTGGAATATGTTTATAGAAATGAAGGATGACCTTGTAAAGATGGCAGCTGACCTCCAAAGAAAAGACCTGGAAGAGGAAGCATTTGTGGAGTACCTCAAATTTTTAATGTGAGATCTTGCTGTTCCCATCTCCTTTCCTGTGACTGACCCCTCACTACTCCTGTCCTCCTCTTCATGCTTCTGTCCTGTGCTAACCTTATGGAACTTGACAAAGACATATTTTGATCAGATTTCTTTGAGCTCACACACATGCTTTTCTTTTATTCAAAGAAATCACAAATAAGGGATTTCAAGAGTAGTTCATATGCTTGTGCCCACATGGCCCAGATTTTAGGGGAAATGGGAGTGCCAGCCTACAAACCCACAGCCAGAGAGTCTGGGAGACAGGGAGGACCCTAAGAGAGATATGCATGGTAACCCAGAGAATGGGAACAGGACAAAATCATCTGAGGGGATTGGGCACACTTGGGGAGGTGTGAGGAAGCTGGGGGAAAGAGAAGGGTGAAGAGGAGGCGACAGGAGGACATGGGGGAGCAGGAATGTTGAGTCAGGGTAAGAATAGAGGAGAGAAGGATGAGAGATACAATAATAGATGGAGTCATTATAGGTTTGAAGAGAGATCTGGCACTAGTGAGATGTCCAGGGGCCTACAAGGATAACACCCAATGGCAATCTATCCAATAGTGGAGAGGCTACATTAAATGCTCTTTCCTGATAACATGATTGACAATTTCTTTGTATGCCATCCTAGAGCCTTCATCCAGTGGCTGAAGGAAGCAGAGGCAGACACCCACAGATAAACACTGAACTGCACTCCTGGAATCCAGCTTCAGAGAGGGGAGGGGTGATGAGCAAAGGGGTTAAGACTTGGCAGGTGAAACCCGCATAAACAGCTGACAAGCAAGGGGGAGCTCATAGACCCCAGACTAATAGCTGAGAGGCCAGCATGGGACTGATTCAGACCCCTTGAGCATGGGTGTAAGTGAGGAGGCCTCAGTATTCTTTGTAGCCTCAGGCAGTAGATCAGCATTTATTCCTGTCATCCAGATAGACTTTGGGAGCCCATTCCACAAGGAGGGATGCTATCTCCACCTGGCCACATGGGGGAGGGCCTAGGCCCTGCCCCCAGATCATTTGACAGACTTTTGATTTCCCCTATTAATGTCCTCACTCTCCTTGGAGAGTTAAATTGGGATTGGGTGAGGGATTGGGGGAGGGCTGGAGAGGGGGGAGGGGGAAGAGGGAGCTGGGATTGACATGTTAAGCAATGTTATTTCTAATTTAAATTAAATAAAAGGAAACAAACAACAAACAATAAAAACCCAAAAAACAAAAACCAAATAAACAAAACAAAGATCCAAAATCAACAAGGTGGGTCTTCATTGTCTATATGGCTGACCTAAAATCACTAAAGCATCAGGGAGCTACTCAGAGAAAAATCAGAGATCCTGACCCTAGGTGAGAGGGGGTGCTGATGCTGCCTCAGCATCACAGTATAGAGGAAAGGGAAGGCATGTAAAGTTCAAGTCATGCATAAGATATTAGTTTATCTCCCCACTTGTTTTCTCTTCTTCTTTTCTGACATTAGGATTGTTCTAGTTCTTCTTTTTGGTTTTGTGTTGCAGAGTATAAATAGGGTCTTTGAAATTGCTGAGACCCAGTACAGCAAGGAGTATGCAGGATACCTGGCAGATAAGGTCAGTGGGAGCATGAAGACAGGATGTTTATGTGTCACCTAGTGAGCCTGTGACCTGGGACTGTGTTGTGTTGTTTCAGTGGAATCTGTGTTCAATAGATGTGTTCCACACTCACTTAAACACACACACACTTGTACCCATGCAAGCACACACACACACACACACACACACACACACACACTCATGCACATACATACAGTGCACTAGGGAACTCAGAATATTGAGACAGAATTGTTACTTAAGAGAGCTAGAAAGCAACTGGGTAAGGGGGTGGCAGGTTTTTTTCATAGTACCAGGGTTATGAAGGAGAAGCATGGACACTATGATGAGATGAGAGAACTGATTACATCTACACTTTGTCTCTTTGCTGACAATACTTTTTCTTCTGAGATTTTAAGTATAAGACTAATCCCATTTCTCTTTCTATAGAAAAAAAAGAAGAGGAAGAGGCAGAAAACAAGGCTTTCTGGGAAGATGTAAGAAGAAATACAATAAAAATCTCCCCAGACTTTGCCAATTGGAGCTCTCTTATGGATAGACTGGTGGATGGATTTGATAAAGATAGGAATGGAGAGATGGGCCCTAGCATGGCATCAGCATCAAAAAGTGTTGAATCTTTAGCAGGAAGCACTCCACCAGAAGCCCTTAAAGAGGTCACCCCCAACACATCATCAGACAAGCATGGTGGAGAGACTAAGATAGTAGAAAGCCCAGGTAAGTCCCCACAGGTTCAGGATTTGGGAAGACTCATTTAAAATGGACTCCATTGCATCTGGTCAGCCACACACACTTGAGACTGCAGCTCAGCAGGAAAGTAAGGGGCTGCTAGTGACCAGGTTTATGGAGTCTGGAGCACTGAGCAGCACAGAGCAAGATTCATCCCCTTTTCCATGTCCTCAGTGTTTGATTCCCTGGATCCACTTTGCTGTGGTAACAGAACCTAATGTGATTAGCGTTGTCATTCTCCTTCCTGCCACCCTGACTATCTTGCAATAATAGGCTTTAACTTTGTTTAAGTCACATCAGCTTCTTCAAAACTTGTTGTATTCATATCCTCATCTTTTCAGGGCCCTGTAGACATTAGTGGAAGCACATTAAGAAAATACTGAATCATCTCCTATTGTAAGGAATGTACTGTGCATTGTTAATTTGTAAATGTTGGATTCTCAGTTAATCTTTTTTTTTTTTTGGTTTTACGAGACAGGGTTTCTCTGTACTGTTTTGGAGGCTGTCGGTCCAGCCTGGCCTCGAACTCACAGAGATTTGCCTGTCTCTGCCTCCTGACTGCTGGGATTAAAGGCGTGCGCCAACACTGCCCAGCTGGATTCTCAGTTAATCTTACAACATAATGGAGAGATGTGAATGCAAGAGAATTTCTGTTGTATGAAATCATGTTTTCATCATTAGGGAGACCTTTGTAGGAAATCCTCAAGTAGGTCAGGGAGATAATGACATTGTGACTGAAGTGCTAGCAGTGACAGTGTTAGAAGCTGGGATGGAATAAACAGAGAGCACCTGACAACTGAATATGGTTGGCTACCTCTCTATTCAAAGTTCTCTTTGGGTGACATGAGACATGGAGACAGGAGAAGACCTGGTTTCTCATAACCCCGGTAACTGTGTAGACATGGAACACAGAGAGATTCTGTTGGACTAATAGTGCCAGGGAAGGACATCACTTCAGGTAGTCTCTTCAGATTTGCAGATGTGCTGAAGCAACTCTGTATCCATGCTCAAAATTGAACATGCACATTCTGAAAAATGCACAGCGATCATGGACATTTACCAAACACACTCATTTTTCATATATGAAGGATTTCAATGTGAAATCCACAAATATTTCAGAAGAAAGTTCTCAAATATCTTAGCTTATTTTTTATTTTCATCATATTTCATCTGGCTTTATAACCTGAATGGCGACCTGCCATCTTGCAAGGAAATCCTGAAATTCCTAGTGTGCATCCTGTGGGTTGGCTTTTCACAAGTTTCTAAAGTATTGGTTGATCCTTGTCTTGTCTGGAATGACTCTAAATGTCTTCTTGAGTGAGACCTCAAGCCAAACTGCAAAGCTCTTCTAAATTGGACACAGGTGAGAGTCAGCCTTTCCCAGGTGTGAGCCTACACATTCATCAATGCACCCATTTGCAGATGTGGGTGAGAGTGTCAGTCTTAGCCAGGCTTGAGTCTGTGCACTCAGCAATCTGCACATCTGTATATTATAACACAGGAGCAGGAGTAAGTTGTTCTATTCCTATGGGACAGTAGAAATAATCAGGAAAGAGCACGTGGTCCCAGGTAAATCGAGAAACCTGTCCCTGGAACTTTTCTGGGATTGTTGTAACATCTTCACTCACAGTTAGAGTCTAGTGATGCAACAATTCTAGGTTGCATGTGCACATGGATGGATGAAGTCAAGGATTGTAATTATGTCACTAGACTCAAGATATAATGACAAATGGGTGTCTATTGGGGAACAATTATTCAGAAAAATACAAAGATCTGCTGAAGCAATTCCCTGTTCTTCCTACTGGATCCACTGACCCTCTGGATAAAGTGTGCAAAGGAAATCCATGCCTCAAGTTCCTCTCTTTCCTATTTCATCTGCCTGAAACCCCACCAAAATGGTGTGGCCACATTTGTAGGTCCACTGACCAGTCACCTACAGATAGCCATGCAGTTCTGTGGTCTCAAGGGTATCCCACATCCATATAACATGCCCTATTAGGGACTGTCTACAGTGATATGACCTTGAGAAAGTTTCCATGAAACTGCAACTTCTCAAAATATTATTGTTACGGATGGTTCTTCCCCCAAGCCTGGTCCCATAGCCACCTTGCCCCAAATGAACACACAAAGATTTATATTAATTATAATACTGATAGCCGATGACTAGGGCTACTTTTTGGTTAGCTCTGGTTTAATTATTAACCAATAACTACTAATTTATATTTACATGCTCTTATCTTACTGAAGAATGCCTGACTTATGTCTTCTCTTCCTGGGATGACATGGAGACTGCACTCTGCCTACATTTGATGATGTTTCTATGGCCTCAGAGCTTTTGGGGAAAAAGGACAACATGATTTAGTATGCCCACAATAGGCTTTCTGCAAGGTTGAACCTTGGGAGTAATATTAGGCAGGCTCAGTCTGTGTCTGAAAGTCACAGGCCATGGGAGCCACTCTTGTGAGAATCAGTCTCCAGACCCATGAGGACCCAGAGAAATGTACCCCCAGACCTGAGAGTCCAGATGCCAGCAGACCTGGAGATCTGAACCATGGACAAAGAAGACATGTCTGTCCCAGGAGAGACACATAGGAAGTTTGTTTTCTCTGTTTCTCCTGTTGAGATACCAAAGGGTTTCATGTTACTCACCTGTGTTGAGAGTGGGCTTTGCACACTGAGCTTATGAATCCACATGGAAATTTCTTTACAGCAAATTCACAGTCACACCCAGAAATACCTAGTTCCATCCACTCAAGCTTACAGTGAAGTCCATGCTCACAGCTACCACTCAGTTGTGGTCAAAGCTTGAAGAAGAAACTCCCTACCTGTTTTGTGGTTCCTGGAGAGATTCCTATTGACTTTGTGTTTTTTTCCCAGGTTACCAGGCTGAACTACTCAGAGACACCAGGCCCTGTAACCTCAGATTTCTCCCTCTTTTCCATTTCAGGACAGAACTCCAAAGGCCTCCATCCTGTGGTCCTTCGAAAGGACCTTAGTGAACAGTTCCTGCATTCTGCACAGAAGAACACAAAGAAAATCATAGACACATGGGGTGTACTATGTAATCCCCTGGTAAAGATTTGAAAATTTCTTCCTGATTTGAGTCTGTTTCTTCCCTTTGGCTGCCTATGTCTTTTAGAACACATATCCAAGGGTTGTGTCCATACATATCACTCCACAGAAGGGACTTTAGATGAAAAGGCCTGAGATACCTTGAAATCGATTACTGTATTAGGTTGCTTTTCAGAGTCCCTCTTCAATGGAATGTTAGTAATTTTCATTCTAGTCATGGCTAATACCTGTAATCCAAGTCATTTGCAAACTGAGACTGGAGGCTTCCTACAAGTTCAATCCAGGATCATATACAGAGTGAGATAGTGAAGTAAAAGCATCCAGGCTGGCAGACAGAAATGTGGAAATGAGACATGGAGACAGCACCTTGTCTCATTCTAAAAGGAGGAGGAGTCAATAATTTATGTGGCCTGGTCTGAGCACCCACACTGTGCTGATACTTGGAATATAAATTAAACACCTCAAGACCCCTCAATAGACCCAATGGCTGCTGCAGGGAAGACCCTAGGCCAAGGATGTGCTAAGAGAGACATCCCGTGCTCATGTCATCCTTTTATGTGCTTCCCCAGCAATGCACTGGAGCAGTCAAGGTGAGGAAGCACTGAGGTGAGGGAGAAGGATGAGAGTCATTCCCTGGGGTGAGGGCTTCACTTACTTATGTTATGACAGAGTGGGTTTGACAATGTCAGGGAGTGGTAACAATCTGTTTCCTTTTGGCAGGCAAGGGAAGAATACCATGTCTCCCATGTCATTATTCCTGTGCAGAAAGGAGGTCCTGATTACTGTTATGCCCAAAATGAGGAGGAAATCTTGTGCAAGAAGAACTGGGTCTTCTCACCCTAGGTTGGATTCATGTAAGCAAACTGACCTCCCTGGTGGTGAGCTGCTCTTCTGAGTGCACTGCCCAGATCTGCCTCTACACAGACTCAACCCATTCCAGATCACCTGTCTCTGAGCACATGCAGTCACTATTGTTCCAGTGTTGAGTCAAAGGCACATCTCATGGTGCATTTCATCTTTAGTAGTTTACCTCTTAATGTAGCTCTTCAATGTCAATTCCTTGTGAGTGTGTGGAGAACGGTAGCTTATCTAGAATGTATGAGAAAGTGCTATAGACACCACGTACCTAAAAGCTATGTATGCAAGTATTCCAACTAATTCAAGATAGTTCATTCTTTTTTGTATGTTTTTTATTTAAATTAGAAACATGCATGCTTCAAATGTCTATCCTGGCTCCCCCATTCTCCCTCCATCAGCCCCATCCCTACCCTCCACCCCCAGCCCAATCCCCACATCATTTACCAGGGAGGGTAAGGCCCTCCTTGGGGGGATCTCCAGAGTCTGTCATTTCATCCAGGGCATGACCTAGGCCCTTAACCATGTGTTCAGGCTGAGAGATCATCCCTGTATGTGGAATGGGCTCCCAAAGTTCATTTGTATGCCATGGTGAACACTAATCTACTACCCAAAGCCCCAGAGATTTCTGAGGCCTCCTTACTGACACTACATTCATGGAGTCTGGATCAGTCCCCTGTTGGCCTCTTAGTCATCAGTCTGGGGTTCAAGAGATACCCCTTGTCCAGTCAGCTGTCTTTGTGGGTTTCACCAGCATGGTCTTGACTGCCTTGCTCATCACTCCTCCAACTCTGTTACTGGGTTCCAGGGGGTCAGTTCAGTGTTTAGTTGTGAGTATCTGTCTCTGCTTCCATCAGTCACAGGATGAAGGTTATAGGATGTCACATAAGTTAGTCACCAACCTTATCATCAGGTAGGGGCTATTAATGTAGTTTCTCCGCTATTACTTAGTTTTCCAGTTGGTGTTATCCTTGTACATCTCTGGGAATCTCACTAGTGTCAGCTCTCTCCTCAAAGCCATAATGACCCGATCTATTATGGTAGCTCTCATCCTGGTCTCCTCTATTCTTACCCGGACTCAGCCTTCTTGCTCCCTCATGTCTTCTTCTACCCTCCTCTTATCCCCCTCTCTTATTCCTGGTTCCCTCTCTTCTCCCCCCTTGTTCCCAATCTGATCAGGAGATCTTTCCTTTTTCTACTTCTCTGGGATATAATGCATATCTTTTGGGAACTTCCCTGTTTCCCAGACTCACTGGCCCTGGGATTGTAGGCTGACACTCCTCTGATACATGTTTAAAATCCATATATGAGTGAGTACATACCATGTTTGTCTTTTTGTGACTGGGTTATTCACTCAGGATGGTTTCTTCTAGTGCCATCCATTTGCCTGCAAATTTCAAGACTCCGTTGTGTTTTTCTGCTGAGTAGTACTCCATTGTGTAAATGTACCACATTTTCTCTATCCACTCTTCAGTTGTGGGGCATCTAGGTTGCTTCCAGGATCTAGCTATTAAAAAATGCTGCTATGAACATAGTGGAACAGACATCCTTATTGTATGAATGGGCATCTTTTGGGTATATGCCTAAGAGTGGAATTGCTGGGTCGTGTGTTAGACTGAGTCCCATTTTCCTGAGGAATCTCCATACTCATTTCCAAAGTGGCTGTACAAGTTTGCACTCCCACCAGCAATGGAGGAGTGTTCTCCACATCCTCTCCAGCATAAGCTGTCATTGGTGTTTTTGATTTTAGACATTCTGACAGAAGTAAGATGATATCTCAAAGTTGTTTTGATTTGCATTTCCCTGATGGCTAAGGATGTTGAGTACTTCCTTAAGTGTCTCTCAGCCATTTTATACCCCTCTATTGAGAATTCTCTATTTAGTTCTGTGCCCCAATTTTTAATTGGATCCTTTGGTGTTTTGGAGACTTGCTTCTTGAGTTCTTTGTAAATTTTGGAGATCAGCCCTCTGTCAGATGTGGTGTTAGTGCATACCTTTTCCTATTCTGTGAGCTGCCTTTTTGTCTTGTTGACTGTGTCTTTTGCATTATAGAAGCTTCTCTGTGTTAGGAGGTCCCATGTGTTAATTGTCGATTCAGTGTTTGTGCTACTGGTGTTACGTTCAGGAAGGGGTCTCAATGTACCAATTCATTCAAGGGTACCTCCCACTTTCTCTTCTAACAGGTTCAGTGTGGCTGGATTTATGTTGAGGTCCTTGATCCATTTGGACTTCAGTTTTGTGCATGGCGATAGACATGGATCGATCCACAGTCTTCTACATGCCAGTCTCCAGTTATGCCAGCACCATTTGTTGACGATGCTTTCTTTTTTTCATTGTATAGTTTTAGCTTCTTTGTCGAAAATCAAGTGTTCATAGGTGTGTGGATTAATCTCAGAATGTTTAATTCCATTCCACTGGTCTATCTGTCTATTTTTGTGCCAGTTCCAAGCTGTTTTCAGGACTACAGCTCTATAATAGAGGTTGAAGTCAGTAATGGGGATACCTCCAGATGTTGCTTTGTTGAGCAGGGTTGCCTTGGCTATCCTGAATCTTTTGTTTTGCCATATAATGTTGAGAATTGTTCTTTTAAGGTCTGTGAAGAATTGTGCTGGGATTTTGATAGGGATTGCATTGAGCATGTAGATTTGTTTTGGCAGAATTGCCATTTTTACTACATTGATCCTACCTATCAAAGAGCATGGGATTTCTTTCTATTTTCTGGTATCTTCTTTAATTTCTTTTTTTAAAGACTCAAAGTTCTTGCAATACAGGTCTTTTACTTGTTTGGTTAGTGTTACCCCAAGGTATTTTATTTTGTGTGTGGCAATTGTAAAGTGTGATGTTTCTCTGATTTCTTTCTTAGCCCTTTTATCTTCTGTATATAGTTGGGCTACTGATTTTTTTGAGTTGATCTTGTAGCCTCCCACTTTGCTGAAGGAGTTAATCAGCTGTAAGAGTTCCCTGGTAGAGTTCTTTTTTTTAATTTTCTATTTTAATTTTAAATAGCTTGTTTTACATGTCAATCCCAGTTCCCTCTTCATCCCCTCCTCCTGCACCCTCCCATTCCCCCCAGCCTCCCACCCTATTGGAATTCCTTCCACATAGGGGGTATCTAGAGTCTGTCATTTCACTCAGGGTAGGGTCCAGGCACTCCCCTAAGAGTCCAGGCAGAGACAGCCTCCCTCTTTGTGCTATGGGCACACAATGTCTTGTATTCCAGGGATAAACACTGATCCACAGCTCAGGGCCCCATAGGTTGCCCAGGCCTCCTCACTGACACTCACATTCGGGGGTCCAGATCAGCCCCATGCTGGCCTCCCCAATGTCGGTCTGGGGTCCAAGAGCTCTCCTCTGTTCAGATCAGCTGTCTCTGCTGGTTTTGCCAGCCCATTCTTTGCCAATTTGCTCATTGCTCCTCTCTCTCTGTCACTGGGTTCCTTGGGTTCAGTTCAGTGCTTAACTGTGGGTGTTTGCCTCTGCTTCCATCAGTCACTGCATGAAGGTTCTAGGATGGTTATAGACATCAAGTTCATTATCAGGAATGGGCATTCCACGTGGTCTCTCCACTATTGCTTAGCTTGCCAATTGGTGTCATCCCTTTAGATCACTAGAGGCCACTCTGGTGCCTGATCTGTCTTCTAACCTATGATTCCCTCTTCCCCCTATTCTACCCACCCCTACTCAACCTTTCTTCCCCCATTTCATGGATTTTTTTGTTAGTTTTTTCTTCTAATTCTTTAAGGGATTTCCTCGCTTATTCTTTGAGGGTCTCTATCATCTTCATAAAATAATTTTTAAGGTCTGTCTCCTCTGCTTTGTCTATGTAGTGCTTTTCAGGTCTTGTTGGTGTTGGATCCCTAGATTCTGGTGGAGTCATGTTGGTCTTTCTATTGCTGAGTGAGCTTTTATTCTGTCTTATTCCCATCTCTTCTTCCAGTGGGTGCAGGTGGGGTCTTTCTGTCTCCACTGGTCTCCTTCCTTCCTGAAGCTGAAGCTGGGGATGCTGACACTGAAGCTTAAGCTGAAGCTGGGGTTGCCAGAGGTTGGGATCTGGAAGGGCTGATGTCTTTCCTGTGTGAGTGGGTCTTCTGAAGCTGGGCTTGCCGGAGTTTGCGGCCTGGAAGGGCTGATGTCTTTCCTGTGTGGGCAGGTCTTCTGGATGCCAGCAGCATCCCCAGAAGATCGAGGGGATGGGTGTTGGGCAGGGGATGGGGGGTGTCCCATCGGGAGACCCAATCTCACCTGAAGCTGGCCTCCCTGGTAGAGTTCTTTGGGTCACTTATATAAACTATCGTATCATCTACAAATAGTGGAAGTTTGACCTCTTCCTTTCCAATTTGTATTCCCTTGATCTCCTTTTGTTGTGGTATGGATCTGGCTAGAACTTCAAGTACAATATTGAAGAGGTATGGGGACAGGGGACAGCCTTGTTCCTGATTTTAGTGGAATCGCATTGAGTTTCTGTCCATTTAGTTTGGTGTTGGCTGTTCATTTGCTGTATATAGCTTTTATCAAGTTTAGGTATGTTCCTGTTATCACAGATCTCTCCAAGACCTTTACCATGAAGGGGTCAAAGGCCTTTTCAGCATCTAGTGAGATGATCATGTTATTTTTGTTCCTCAGCTTGTTTATATGATGGATTACATTGATGGATTTTTGTATGTTGAACCATCCCTGCATCCCTGGGATGAAGCCTACTTGATCATGGTGGATGAGTTTTCTGATGCGTTCTTGTATCCGATTTGCCAGTATTTTATTGAGTATTTTTACATCAATGTTCATGAGGGAAATGGTCTAAAGTTCTATTTCTTAGTTGTGTCTTTGTGTGGCTTGGTTATCAATGTTATTGAAGCCTCGTAAGAAGAGTTTGGCAAAAACCCTTCTGCTTCTATTGCATGGAATACTTTGAGGATAATTGGTATAAGCTGTTCTTTGAATTTCTGGTAGAATTCTGCTCTGAAGCCATCTGGCCCTGGGCTTTTTTTGGGGGGGTTGGGAG